CCAGGCCCCACCCTCATTTCCTGGCTTGGGGACCTGGGGTCAAGAGAGAGAGCTCCATCCTGGTGACACTAGGGCCACCTGACTTAGAGACCTTTGTCTGAGACCACCTTAGCCAGCTGCACCTCTCTGGTGTGGAGGATGGTGACCCAGGGGCAGGCGGGGGGTGGTGGTGGGAAGTCTGGCCTGTACTATAGACAGAGATGAAGGGAAACTGAGGCCGTGTGTGTGCGTAAGGTTGTCAAGACAGTTGCCTCTGTGCATCTGTCACCTGGAAACTGGAGCCGCTTAGAGTTTTCTGTATGAAGGGAAATGCTTGACCTCTTGCTACCCCTTTGCTCTTGACACTCTTCAGCACGTGGAGTCCTGAGGCCAGGGTGGGTGGACTGCTCCCTGACCAGGAGGCCTTCTCTCCCGGGGGTGGGCGCAGCGCCCGCGCTCTGCTGCTCTCTGCACACTGAGTGGGGGAGCGCGGCAGGCACGGGCTGTGTCCACGATTCACGCTGAGTCCCGGCTTTCCCCTGAGCGGGGCCTCGGAGGCCTTCACACCGGCCCCACGGCCAGTGCTGTCTCCAGCTCTCCCTCCCTCAAACCCCATCTCCTGCCACTCCTTGTCACCCACCTCGTGCGCGGCTCCCCGGCCTTCTGAGCCCTCACTGTGCTTCAGCTCCTCTGGATGCGGCGTGCACTCTCTCCTCCCCCGGAGAGCTCCTTCCTGACCCTTTGGCCAGGTCAACCAGCTACGGCCACCTCTCCCTTCAAGACCCGATGGGGCCGTGCCCCAGTCCAGGCTGCTTTGCCCCCTCGGGGCTGGGCATCATCCAGCACTGTAAGTGGCTGCCTCTGCGTCTGTCTCCACAGGGCTGTCGGCTCCTGGGTGGGCAGTGTCTTACTCCAGTTGTTGGGTGGTGCTGGGCATGGTGTCAGAACCTTCACACTCATGTCCATAGTTTCAGCCAGTTTGCACCAGCCCACGATGTGGGGAGACAGCTGCAAATTGCCATTTACAGATGAGGGAGCCGAGGCCCGAGAGGCTGAGTCACGTGCTCCAGCCTCCTCCAGCACATTCGGTGGAGAGCCCCTCTCAAGGGCTCACTTGCGCCCCCAGCCCGTGCAGACGCTGTCTGGTGCAGGTGCTGCGGGGGCTGGCATGTGCTGGGAGGAGTGGAGCCTGCACACGTGCACAGCCGTCACAGCCGTTACCCCTTCCGACACGCATCTGCACTGGAATTCTCACAGCAGCGGGGCCTGTGTCCAGGGCACTGTCACAGACGTCTAGCGGGGAACACACTCTCTATTCTCAGCCTCGTCTTTTTCCTTCTCCCCTCGTCCTCTCTCAGGGTTGTTCTGTACCCACCTCAGCCCCCCTCCCAGATGGTCCCCTGTGCAGGTCGCCCTGCATTTCTCCCTGGGGCACCTGCTGGGCAGGGCTGTGAAGGGTAGAGGGCAGGCCCACTGCCCATCTACTGGGAGCAAACCCCCTGGGTGTAATTTTATTTCATCTGTGCTGAGGTCATTCCCTTCACATGATGTGTCACTTAAAATATGTTTTTGGGGCAGACGGGGCCTGGGGACATGTTTCCTATGAGAACGTCCCTTGCACCAGGGGTTCCTCAGCTCTTTCCAGTTGGAGGCTCCAGAGAGATGAGACGCATTCACTCAGTGTCCCCAAATGATGGGTCAGAGTGGCCAGTGGGGTGTGCTGTGAGGGTAGAGATATTTTATAAAAATCCCTGTGAGGGAGAATTTCTCACCTGCAAAGACGTTATGCTAAATGAAAGAAGCCTGTCACCCAAGTCCACCTTTTATTATGTGATTCAATTCGTGTGAAAGTTGAGAACAGGGGGATCTATAGAGACAGGAAGTAGATCAGTGGTCCCTTAGGGATGAGAGGGGAGGGGACCCATAGCTAAAGGGCACAGGGTTTCTTTTGAGGTGATGAGAATTTCCTAAATTGGGTCTAGAGGTGATGTTTACACGTGACTGTGAATATCCTAAAAACGTTGAATTGTACACTTTAAATGGGTGAGCTGTGTAGTATGTGAATTATCTCTCATTAAAGCTGTCTAAAAGAGAGAGAATTTCTCCCCACTATCTTACTATGAAACTTAGTGCTATAGATAAACCATACAAAGAAAAAAGTCACCATGATTTTATAAGGCTCTTTGCAAGGTGGTCCATCCAGATGGGTGACAGGGTCCTGAGGTACCAGGGGGCAGGGCTGGGATGGGGCACAGGGGGACTTTGCTCCTGTGGACAGAGATTCTTCCATAGACCCCGGGAAGTTGCATAAGAGGGTGTGTGTGTGTGTGTGTGTGTGTGTGAGAGAGAGAGAGAGAGAGAAGGAGCGAGCATTCCTAGGGAGCTGCCACACAGTCTTCATCACACTGTGAGAGCACACGCCCACAGCAGGTGGAGAGTCGGGATTGACCTGGAAGCTTCCCTCTGCACTGGGTGCCGGAAGCTCAGCCCAGAGCTGGGGCCACACTCGCTAGTGCACACTCAGGACTCTGTGGCGACACTCAGTGTGGTGACTGCGCTCTTTCCTCTCACTTTTCCTGTCTTTGGTTCCTGACCGAGCCACACGGGAGGAATCGAGCTGAAGGAGGTGCAGTGAGCTGAGTCTGCAGACCAGGCTCTGAGAGCCGCCTTCTCAGATTTTAGCATTTCCAGGGACCACCTGTGCATTCATTTACCTCCTATGTATTCTACAGTTAATTTTTTTCTAAAATAACTATATTATTACCTTAAAAATAAAACCACGCCCTTCTCCAGATTGCCTTGGCCTGCCCGTTCTTGGAGCTCCTGTTCTAGGGGAGTCCAGACACCTGGCTCCACCTGAGCCCCTCTCCCTGCCTTAGTCAGAAAAACTGAAGACAGTGACAAAGAGAACCGTTTTCCCGATGTGGCCTTCAGTGTCCCTCAATGCCGTGTCCATTGGCCTCATACAAGCATGTCCAGCCTGCTGGGTCCCACGCAAGATTCCATAAAGGAGGGCTACCCCCTCCGTGTGCAAGACCAGCTGTTCCTTTGGGATTTGGTCCATCAGTCGTGTGTTTAGGCACAGCCCTCTCACAGGACACCCTGAGGGCCAGGTAACTAACTCGGACACTGACACACACTGGACAGGCCTTCCCTGTGTCCCACACCCCAGATCAGCCGTAAGCAGGGGGACCCTCACCCCCTCCCTCACCTGGTCAGGGGCAGTGCCCTTTTGTCACTAACCAGATACACCTGTCTTGTGCTGAATGCTGCAAAGGAGAATACAGGGCTCCCTGAGAGCATGTGAACGGGGACCTAACTCAGATTGGTCCTCTTTGGATGGTCACTGGTTGACCAGGCAAAGGGCACTTAGGAGAATTGTGTCCCAGGCCTTTACCTCTGACCACGAGATGGGCATGCAATCCTCCCTCTTCTCCATGCCACACTCTGCTGCCTCCTAAATCCAAGTCCGTCTCAGCCATCGGCACGCTCATGTCCCTTTGTCAGTGCCCGTTATAGAAAAGGCCAAGTAACCTGTTTGATCTTAAAGGCAACTATGGATGAGGTCGGCACTCACATCTTACTGTGGCAGTCTGAGGATTTGTATTTAATTGATTTTGCTCCAATTACTGTAAGTTGTAAAGTCTGTCCCACTGGCTCTGACATGTGCCTTCCTTCAGGCAATCTCAGATTCATCAGTAGAGGAAGTCTTCTGCTCAGAGATGCCCAGATCTGATACATGAGGCCCAACTTGATTTTGATAACTCCAGATTCTTCATTGCACTGACTTTTCCACCAAATGTGATTCTCTCCTGATGCTTCTCAGCTCACAGGCTCAGAGAACACCTGTGAGGACAGTGGACCCCTCACCCAGCAGGTGGGCAGCAGGTACAGGAGACGAGGACAAGGTACCACTTGAGTTCACACCACAGGGGATGTAGGACTGGGGGGGCAGCCTGTCCTCAGGCCCCAGATGCTCAGAAGGATGATACCAAGTTCACAGTACCTGGGAACCTCTGACTGCAAAGCCATCTCCAGCCACGTCCCAGCCCACTCCCAGCACGGTCCTTATCCGGATGGGGACAGTGGATGAGGCTGAGCTGATGTCACTGAGATGAAGAGGGACAAGGAGAAGGAGAGAAGTGCAGAGAATCCCAGCTTGGGATGTGCTTGTCCACAGGGGGAGTGGGACTGTGGCACTGAGGGGTGTTATGACCCCACGTCTGTCCTTACTCTCCCCTTTGATTGGGGCTCACTGACCCTGGGAGCATCAACTGGGGTGTCTTCTGGGTAATGACGGGGGAGTGCTTCTCTCATGCCCATCCTCAGCCACCCGAGGAGACGGGGCTGACCTGGGCCCTCTCTCCAGCCCCAACTCCAGACCTCAGAGCACTCCCTGGACTTGGGGATTTAAGGGGTCAATTAAAAAAAAAATGCTAGTGACATAGTGTGGCTAATTCACTTTGCCAATAAAGATCAAAAGAATCTTCTGGTCACTACCATTTCACAGAAGGAAGGATAGTTTTATGTCAAAAATACTAGGAAGTATATAATCTCAGAATTAGCCCTCCTAATGACAATACTGGATGGCATAAGTCCTTTCTTAGGATGATGAATTACTTAACTCCCACGGACCTCAGTTTCCCCATCTGACAAATGGATCAGTACCTTCCTCATAGAGTTGTGTGAGGACTAACTGAGTTAATATTTGTAAAGTGCTTAGGACAGCACCTGGCATATAAATGTGATCTAAGTGCCTGTTAAATAAAAAAATTAAAATTGTACTTAAAAAGTCAATAAAGGCAGGCAAGCAGAGGATTGGGAAAGACTGAGACTGGAGATCCAGGCTAGAGCCTTGGGGGATGAAAGAGTCATTTTCGGTGAGGAAAACGCCCACCGCTGTTCTCTGCCTCCTTCCTGTTTTCTGCCCCTCGTGCCCCAGCATGACCTCTGGGTCTGGCCCTTCCTGGGCATGGGTTCTCCTGGTCTGATGCTCACCCCTGCCCTCCTTTCCTCTGCAGGTCTTTGGGGGCCTGGTGTGGATCCTGATCGCCTCGTCCCTGGTGCCCTTCCCCCTGATCCAGGGCTGGGTGATGTTCGTGTCTTTGTCCTGTTTCATAGGCACCACAGCCCTGCTCTTCGTCTACATAACTGATGGCAATAAATGGAATATTCCTTGTTTAGAACAGGTGAGTCTCAGCCCTGGATGTTTGAGGGGGTGGGTAGTATTGGACCCTCTGCCCTGGGAGGCTGGCTTCTCCAGCGCTGGGTGAGGCTGCCCTGTAGACGTCTCCCACCCGCGTTCCAAGGCTGAGCTGGCCAGGCCTTCAGCTCCGAGTGTGCACAGCAGCCCAGGGCTCCTGCAGCAAGGTCAGGAGGAGGTGAGGGCAGAGGGTGGCTGTCGCTGTCTGATCCCGTTGGGGCTGCTCTGCCTCCTCCTGCAGGACGGCCTTGTTCACGGATGACCAGCAGCCCACCCCCCTCCCATCCCGCCTGCACCTGCCAGGGCCTGTCGGCACCTCCTGTCGTCCAGGAGGGCTGGGTTCCATCTCGGGGGAGCAGGGTCCTGGGGACTGGCCTTGGCTGCCCGTGTGAGGCCCTGCTTACTGCCCAGCTCCCAGTCACAGCCTTCTAAAGCCGGGTCACCAGAGAGGGGCTTGGTGGGGGACAGAGATGGCGGTGGTCTCTGTTCTGCATAAATTCTTGAGGCCCATGAAGAGGGTTGAAACTTACACATGGACCTCTGCCCCTTATGTCCCCTGGAAGGGGGTGGGGGCCATTTGGCCAGGCCTCTCTCAAAAGGTCTTCTACTCAGACTTGTGAAATCACCTCCACATTACAGCTACTCAAAACCCCATTCTAGTACGTTTTTGCTTGTAAACATACCTGCAGCCGCCTTCCCCTCCAAACAAAATGAACCAGAAAACAACAGTGGAATGACCTGGGCCTCTCTCGCCTGCACTGGTCATGGAGGCCACATCTGAACCAGGACTGTGACCATGGATGACACTCCTCAGGTCCAGAATCAATTTCTACCTATTCAATCCCAAGTTGCCCCCCTCACTTGATCCCCCCTCAAGAGAAAGCAGCGTCCCTTCTCCACTGAAGTCCTTACTCTGCCCCCCAAACCAGTGAGACAAAACTCAGGGGGACAAATGACCTCTGCGAGGAGGGGGTTGGGGGTGTTGTGATGGGTGGATGGGGTGGGAGGAGTCAAAGGAAGTAGCAGAAGATGACCAAGGGACCTGAGCCATGCCGGGCGGGGACAGGTGGGGTGGAAGGGCCCTGCTGGGGCCACAGCTGCACCACATCTCCACGTCTAGGCTCCCTATCCTTCTGATGGCCTTTTCTGACCCTGCAGGACACAACCTACCACTATATAGCCTCCCTGTTTTACCTCAGCGCCTCCGTCCTGGAAGCTTGGGCCACCGTTACCATGGAAGGTAGCATCACTCCTGAACATTTTCTTGAAAACGTCTTTGCTACAGTGAGTCTCCCAGTCAACCTGCCTGAGTTCACAGCTCCCACCACCCACTGACAGAGGGTCTGAGCGGAAGGCTGCCCGAGCCCTCCCCTCTTATTTTCAATTCACTTATTTTTGAATGAAATAAGCCTTCCCCTCATTTCTGAAGAAACAAAGCTCTGGAGAAGGGAAGGGATGTGCCCAAGACTCCCTTCATCGTCCGGTCAGTGCTGCGCTGCCCAGGCCTGGGCAGGCCAGGGGGTCCGTGCCTGGGTGGGCTTTGCAGAGGGTGAATGTGTGAGGAGACATGACCGCTGAGTGCCTGGCGCTGTCTGAGCTCTCCATGAATAATTGTATTGAACCGTCACAACAGCCCAGGGATGCTGGCGCTGTTATCATCCCCATTTCACAGATGGAAAACCGGGGCACCAAGAGCATGGATAACCTGCTCCAGATCACCAGGAATTGGTGGGGCCTGGTGTCCAGGCCAGGTGCTCTGTCACCCACACTCAGCACCAGTTTGGAGCAGTGAGTCTGGCCACTTGGGTCTCCTGGCTCTCCCTGAGCCATCTTCCATGGAAGCACACAGTCAGGCAGGGAGCACTGAGGCCAGGGATGGAAAATTGTGTGGCCAGTGTCTTCCCAGGCCCTGACTCTGGGGCTGGGGCTGTGGGAAGGCCCTTCTGGGCCCAGCGAGTCCAGACCCCCAGCTGTGGGTGTTTGCTGCTGCGATTAGGCCCTCGGCTCTTCACGACGGTGTCTCCTGCCCCACAGCTCTGAGAACCTGTGGGAGGAGGAGGGGCTGGAGGTCACCTGTGCAGGTCCCTTGTGGTCTCTGGGCCTCGGCTGCTCATCTATGAAATGAGATGTTTTATTCTGTCCATTTCCCTCAAGGACTCTAGATTAAACAGCTTCCTCCCGATGCCTCACAGGGAGCACTGGGTGGAACAGCGGCTTGAACCTCATTCACCCCATCAGCAGAACAAATGGGGGTGCCACCTGTGTGTCACTGGGGGAACATTGGGTGCAGGTCTCTGAGCTCTAAAAGTAACGTTCTCCAACTTCAGGGCCAGACACATTGGTGAGTGAGATCATATGAGGTCATGCATTTTCTTTTTAATGGAATGGGTTGGAATGACAGGAATAAGAGAATCTATTGTTTCATAAAACTTTTTTCCAGAGCTGTGCATGGGTGGGCTTGCACCAGTATGCTAACTCACCATATCAAAATATATTTCTAGTCATGGGTATTGTTTAAAAAAATGAGAAAAAGTTTCAGAGATAGTGCTCCTCAGATTTCTGGAGGTCAACCTATGAATTACGGAAATCCTGAGGGCAAATGTAATGACAGATCACAGGATGTCAACTCCAGGTGCCAAAGCTACGCTGTCCCCCCATTTTCGAAAGGGTAGAGCAGTGGCTGAGAGAAAACCCACAGGGTAGGCATTGTTGGGCTCTGGGGGAAAGTTCCTCAAAGCCCTGTCTGCTGGTCCCTGTGGGCCCGTCCCCTGCCCGGGGGAGGGCACACATTCCTCTTAAGCTCCCAGCCTACTCCCCAGGTCATCAACATGGCCACCTCATGGTCCCTGCGCCCCCTCAAAAGTCCCACAGTGTGGGAATGTCTCCCATATTGGCTCATCTCCCAAGATGGCTGGTTTCTAAACAGTAGCACAGCCAGGCAGCTCCTAGGTTGCTCTCCCTTCCCTAGGGAGGCTGGTAATCCCCCTCATCCATTGTCATTCCAATGATTCCATTTCATCTTGCCCTCACCTTAGAGCCTATACCTCCCCCTATCCCCACCCCAGAAGCCTTCTCTCCGAATAGACAGCAGCAAGGCATTTGACAACAAGTTCTGTAAAATTATTGCAGACAATGGTAATGAAATGTAGATGGAATGTGGCTAGTGGGTCAGCACTTGATGGAACAACCCAGATGGGCTGAATTAATGCCCTGGCCCGCTGGACAGATCTCTAGCTGAGAACCACTGGGCTCCACCGTGTTCTGACTTCTCTTTTACTTTTTATCAAAAGGCAACATAGAGAAGTGAGCAGGATGCAAGTGCACAGCTTGATGGGTTTCCATAAAGTGAACCCCTCTGTGTAACAAGCATCTGGATTAAGAAATAGAACATCATGAACAGCTCCCAGAAATCCCCTTCTTGTCCTGCCACTGTCACTGTGCACCCACACCAAGGATGACCACGGTCCTGATTTCTAGCTGCCTAGTTCAGTTAGGCCTGCTTGTGAACCTCATGTGAATGGAATTACACAGTGTGTATTCCTTTACGTCTGGCTTCTTTCTCTCCACCGTAGGTGTGTGAGGCTCAGCCCCACTGTTGGGTGGAGATGTAGAGAGTTTATTCTCATTGCTGTGGAGTATTCCATTCATGACTACACCAGCGTCTCTTTATCCAGTCCACCATTGATCGTGTCCCCCCGTTTGTTAGTTGAGTTGGAGAAACATGACCATGCCCAGGCACAGTCAGGAGTGCCAGAATCAAGAATCACGATGTTCTCAGCAGGCAAGGGCACTGGGCTGAGACCACCAAGGAGAAATATGAGCCCGGTTCACTGTGAAGTCTCGCCTTTCTATTCACAATATCAATTGTGTCAGTGCACAGGGGAGGAGGAGTCATGATTACTCAGGATTTAACCCCAGACCCCGCCCAACTATCACATGCCCTTCCCGTGGTCTCGGGGATGGCCAGTCCAGGGTGTGGGAGGCGTCTCAAGACCTTCTCCCACACACCTCTGGCCTTTGGAAGCGTCTGGCCTGCCTCTCGCCCTCTGTGGTTCCTGATGGGGACCTGCCTCAAAAGCTGAGCTTCCCCCTCCTTTGCTGGCAGCATGGTGTCTGCACTGAAGGGATCCCTGGATTGGTAGGAGCTGACTGAGGGTAGCTGGAAATTTCTGCAGGAAGCTGGAGGTTTCTGGATCTTAACAGTGGTGGGCAATAATGGCAGCCATTTAGGGAGAGGGGTTTCTGAAAGCCTAAGGACCCTTCATGTCCCTGGCTGTCAATGTCCCCAAGGTGCCATTTCTTGCCATCACTTGGGAAATAAGCCTGTTTCCTATTCCTGTGGGGACTTCAGAGGTGCCTCTGCCAACGGTTCTCACGGGGTCTGGAATAGCTCAGATAGTAAACTGCTCCCACCTGATGGGGAGAGGTGTTTTTCGGGGGCTACTCACACATGTGTGACTGCTCCTTTCAGCCAGGGTACTTCAGAGTTCCCGGATGAGTTCTCTTAAATTTGTTATTAAATAACTCAGCTTACTCATCGCCTCTGGTCAGTGAGGGTGAAGGGTTCACCCCTGTGTGGGGCAGGGAGAGAGCAGGCACGGGGACGGCTGGTGTTTATGGGCATTTTAAAGAGTCATGGAAGCATAGCCTCCCTAAGTGTTTTGCCTGGGCTGGAAACTCTTGACCCTACTCCCAAGGTCACAGAACCAGGCGCAGATATTGGACTCGGGGGCAGACAAGCGTTTAGGAATAGATGGTGCCCACATGAACATAGCACATCAGGGGCTTGACAGGCCACAGAGTGACCATTTGCCATATGTCCAGGGCCTTTGTTCCCAGCACCAAAACTGCTGACTGGATCTTCCCAGCATCTTCCTCAGTCAGCCCCCTCCTTTCTGCAAAAGCTCAAAATCCTCCCCCTGTCCCTGTCCCTCAGTCCTGTGAGCCTGGCTCCCTTGCCTGTGCCTGTGAAATTAAGAATCCAGAACAAAATTCTGAGAGGAGTCTGAGGATGTCCAGGCAGCATGGAGACATTAACCAGAGCCAGCAAACCCATGTGTTCATATTCTCCTTGCTGAGGCCGCTGGGATCACAGCTGGTGGACTCTGGTCTTACTGGCGTGGAGGAAGGAAATTTCCTATGGAGAGCAGTTGATACTCACCTGTGAGTATTATTTGAGGGGGCCTTTGAGGGCCCCCACTTCCCATTGGGTGACACCAGCATGATGATGTGAGGTGGCAGATAGTTGACCTTGCATGCCACGTTCGGTGGATCGTTAGGTCACCTGGAGCTCTGTGCTGAAAGCATTCTGAGGTCACATCTGGGCTCAGCCAGAAAGGATGTCTGCCTGAGTGATGGGAAGCAGTGGCGGTCCACACACTTCAGGTCTGTCATCCCGAGGGCCATGAGTGATCAGCCCAGTGTGGATGGCCCATGCCTTGCCCTCTCCCCATGCGTGCCCATTAATGGTCATTTCTCTTGGTTTCAGGTGTTTGCATGCCTAGTCACTCTGCTGTACATGGTGCATGCGTGTTGTCTATGCCGCTGATAGACTGAAGTTTAGCTGAAAACCCAGACGGTGGTAACTGATCGGCCTGCCTTCCAGCATAACTTTTTAGAATGCAGAAATGCTCTCGATGGTGGAAAAAAGAAACCAAAAGAAGAGCAACACTCTGTTTCCTGTGGGTGTTATGTTGACTCTCCCACATCCCTTCCTGTCAGGGTTGGGGATTTGCTGGGTTTAACCTCCAACTACTGAGCCATCTTTCAGGGTCATTTCCTATTTGTGACAGGAGGCGGTGGGGTGGGAAGTGGGGACTGTGATCTGAGAGACCACGAAACAGAGATCCCTTGCTGACCACTGGACTGGATCTTGAGAACTCTCTACTGGAATTTTCCACAGGCTCTCTTGAGCACCCATCCTATGGCGTGTTTCTGAGTCTTTGTGGATAGTCTCATGTCATAGGGATAAAACTCACCCAACAAATATTTGCAGATGTCCACAGTGGAACATAGACATTTGAAATACTTTATAAAGCGCCTTTGTGTTCCATACTTTTGTAGGGTGTTTTTTAGGTTTTGTTTTTAATTCCCCAGTATCAGGAACACTGTCATTTCAGTTTCTTTCTGGGGAATCCTTTGGCTTAGATGGAATCTCTAGAGGCGGCATCAAATGGCAGTTCAGATGACAGCTGTGTGTGCTCGGCCACTGCACTCAGGGAGCCCAGTGCTCGGTCTCCCACCCTCCCAGCTACCAGGGGCATCAGATGGCTTCACCCTCTCTGGAAACTTGCCAAATACCAGCCTGGGGGTTCCCCTTCTTTTTCCTACAAGACAAAGGGATCTGTGCTCAATTTGAAAATCCTCAAGCCACGAGAAAACAAGGTGCAGAAGTTTCTTCTCCCTCCGTGAAGCTGATCGGAAATGTTCTGGGCAGCGGGCTGTGTGTTCTGTTCCAATTAGTGATGTGGATAATAAACTGTTTTTAGGGTTTCCTTGGGCCGCTCCAGAGGAGAGGAAGGGGACCAGACTACAGAGTGACAGGAAGTGAGGTGACAGTGATGAGGCCACGTTTTGGGGTGAGATGTCCAGGTGAAAGGAGAGGAGATGATAGGAAGGGGCCCTCAGTCAGGAACCCTGAAAGTCAGCTCCTGGTGTCAAGTGCTCCTTCATCCTTCCCTCAGAGAACCCATGACATTCCAGAGCTGGACAGTAGAACAGGGGCCTCAGAAACCGTTCATCCCCTAGCTGTGGAGGTGGATGGGCAGGAGCTGGCTGACCTCTGGGGAGTGACCATGAGGACAAAGCTTCAAGCTTCAGGCAGAGGTTTCACTGGGTGACATTTCGTTGTCTTCCACCTTGGGGACCCATGACTAACTTGGGTCTCAGTGGTGTCTCCAGGAGGTCCTCTGTTATCCCAGGATAATTACACCAGATAAGGGCCACTTTTAATGAGTCCACTTAAAACATATTTAAGTAAAAAACTTCATAGTAATTTAGGAGCAAAAGGTTTGATTGGGGCTTTATCTTGAAAAATTAAAGTACAAATTAAGAAATGATAGGAAGTTTGTCACCTGTTTCACAAAATGTACAATCAAGTGTTGATTGAGGGAAGTCACATTTTCAACACAACTACCTGATCGCATTAGGGTAGCCAGCACCATGATGCTGACAGAGGCACACTGTTGACCCCCATCAAAAAAAAGACACCAAAGGGGGCTGGCCCAGTGGCGCAAGCGTTTAGTGCGCGTCCTCCGCTGCGGCGGCCCGGGGTTTCGCCAGTTCAGATCCCGGGCGGGCACCGACGCACTGCTTGGGAAGCCACGCTGTGGCAGCGTCCTGTATAAAGTGGAGGAGAATGGGCACGGATGTGAGCCCAGGGCCAGTCTTCCTCAGCAGGAAAAAGAGGAAGATTGGCAGATGTTAGCTCAAGTCTGATCTCCTCAGGAAAAAAAAAAAAAAAGACAGCAAAGTGTTAGTTGAATTTCCCAAAGGTTTCTCCATGCTTTGAAATTTTAATCATTCTCTTTAAATAAACTTTGATATGCTCTTTCTCTGTTTTCTCTTTTTCAGCTGCAAATTGGTCTAAGGATAAAACAGTTATTAGTCCAAGGCTTTGCAGATGATGCTCTGATGTGACTCTCCTTCCTCCATCCCGAGTCATTGTGGAATTTGCAGTTTCATTTGGCATTAGATTGCATCCTGTTCACCTTGGATGTTCCTGGGATGGGCAGCCTCAAAAAACGCCCTCCCCTGGTCTTGATTTTCCTTCACTCAGACCACCCTTCCTCCCACCGCAATCCACCCTGGTCCAGATCCCTTGCTCGCGCATCCCATTGCTCAGCTCTGTCTGCATCCCGCTCCTTAGGAAGGGTTTGCAAGTACCAGTGCTGGCTGATGGGCAGGCCTCCTGCTGGGACTCTGCTCCCCTGAAAGCCCACGTGCCCTGGGAGGAAGGGGCTGGGAAAGGGGGCATTTCAGAAGCCTGCTGGGCAATAGCCAAAAGGTATCAGACTGCTGAGAATGGGCATCAACTGAGCACCAACTGTGCGCTGAGACCATTGGTCCCTGGAGGTGTGGGATGGTGTCTGGCCCCCAAAGCTGCTTGTGGCCAGCATGCCTCACTTCTCTGCCTCTGGGTCTTGGGCAGGAAGGAACCTCTGAGGCATAGTTTGTGCCACCCCAAGGGCAGGTGGGACATTCCTCAGATGTTGCCTGCCTGGTGGCCCTGAGTTGGACCAAAGGTCAGGTAGCATTGACACCCAAACATGACAGCCCAAAGGACCCACATCTGCACCTATGTCACCATCCTCCTGCCATTTTTGGAGCTCTTGCCTTGGGCCAGGCACTGGGTAAGCACCTTCCATCTCTACAGCCTCCTGACTTCCTCCCCAAGGCCACAGGAGATGGCCACGACCGTCCTTTTACAGGTGAGGAAACAGACTCACTCAGCTGGGAGACCTGGAGCTGGACTTAGGGCTGCTCCTTCTGTCCCTGGGGCCCTGTGCCCGCTTACTGTCCAGGGTGCCCAGACCTGTCCTCATGTGGGTCTGTCCCCTGACCTGTCAGGAAGTGACAGTGAGAGGAGACCCTGTAGTGGCCCTGATGCCAGTGGGCAGGGGCTTCAGAGGGGGATGAGGCCGGGCATTTGGGACAGCCCCAGACCCCTGGCCGGGTCTGCAGCAGGCCACGTGGCCGAGTCCAGGTCCTTATTGAAAGGGGCTGGCTGCTCTCAGCTGCAGTCACCACAATGCCAGTTCAGGCAGCTGCCGAGCTCCACTTTGCAGCCCCCACAAAGCCAGAGGCCCCCCCAGTGCAGCTGTGCTTTGTAAAGAAGGTGAGTAACGGGGGTTTTTAAGCTCCTGGGACAAAGAGCTAAATGCCCCCTGGGCCTGAGAAAGGATGAAGAAGAAGCTGATGTCTCTGATGTGACCAAGAGCCACAGCTTGCAAGACAGGACAGACCACGGTCCCCACAAACATGTGCTGAGGGGGCATCAGGGGAGGCCACAGCAGAGGCAGCTGTGGGTCACGACCACCCGCGACATGTGGGAGGCTGTCTCCTGTGACTTCCGTGGCTGTGGCCTCCTTGCTTCGTGGGGCTCTGGGGCCCCTCCTGGGGGCATTCTCCTGGTGGCCTTCCCAGTGCAGGGCAGGGGGGCCTGGGAGGGGCTTCACCCACACACAGTCCTCCTCTGGGAACCAGCCTCCGACCCCCTGTTCTGCCCATAGTTGGTCCCACTGGATCTGCCCTCCTCCTGGAGAGGACCCAGTTTATAGGAGCCTAGCTTCATCGACATTCTAGAACCAAATTCTAAAAAGCACCTCTTATCAGAACCCCAGCAGCAGCCCGAATGGGGGATTTAAGGCCTCCTTATGCTGACCTTAAAGAGACAGCAGAGGGTTCGCACTGCCAGCCGTGGGCAGACTGAGCAGGCCTTTGGGGCCCACAAAAGGGTTGTTGTTCTGGGAATTGGTAGGGGCCCGTTCAGGGTCACAATGTGGCCTTTCAGAGGACAAAGCGCCTCTGACCGAGCCAAGTGTCTCTACGCATGTGGGCACCCACCCAGGGCATTTAAAATAACGCAAATTGGAAAAAAAGATTTAAAGCGATTTTCCCCACTCTCTGTGTGATTCAGAGGCCTGTGTTCTGTGTCCATCACACCCGGTCATGGCAGCCTCTAAGAGCTGGGGCGCTGGAGGCAGACCCAGGGCTCCTAGCTGGGACCTCTTTCTTCCCCCACAGGGAACACGGGGACAATCCCAGTGCAGGCTCTACAGATGGACCCTGAGAGGTGTGGTCCACGCACAGGGCTCAGCCCCCAGGACTTCCTTCAGCCAACACACGGTCACCGAGAGCCTGCTAGGAGGCAGACACCAGGGACGGGACTGCCAACAACACTGGGTGCCGGTGCTGCTGGAAGTGCTTTCCTTCTTCACTTAGTCCCTGTGACAACTGCATGTGGTAGATACCATTCAGATGAGGAATCTGAGGCACAGAGAGGTTAAATGGTTTACCCAAGGTCACACAGCAAGTAGGGGTGATTCCATTTCCAGGGATCAGGCTCCAGAGCACCAAAGTTACCTGTCATGTGCCACATCTCACCGTGACAGGGTCCTTGTTCCTCTGGGAGCAGGAGGCACAGACATGCCAAGCAAATCCTCACACTCACAACACTGACAACACTGACAGACAATACTGAAGTTTCCAAATGACACGCAAAGAGTGTCGGGGAAACCCAGCCCTGAGCCCAGCCCTCCAGGGATATGTGTTCAGCATGAGGGGGGCTTTGCCAGGCAGAGAAGGCAGGGAGGGCTTTCCTGGGCAGAGCCAGGGGGGTGATCCAGCCAGGCAGGGTGGGGAGGGGAGGTCTCAGGAGGTTATGAGGCCCGGGTGCCCCTGAGAGCGAGGCTGCAGCCTGGCGTTACCCAGGGGCACCTGCGGGGACTCCCTGTGGGACAGTGGCAGCTGTCCAGGTGAGACACGCTGAGGGTCTGGCAGCAGCAGGGGGACAGGCAGACGGGCTGGCTGGGGAGTGGGATGGACTTGACCAGATGTTGGTGAACTGAGAGCCAGTGGACGGGGCTCTGACGGATCCCTGAGCCCGAGTGTGGCCTCTCTCAGCTCAGTTCCCTTGTCTGCAGAATGGGAATGTTCATC